TCGCCTCCAACAAATTAAAATTGCACTATAATAAAAAGGATCATCAAATTATGTAGATATTGATTAAAAGAACTTTAAAAAATTGGTAGTTCATAATATTAACAAGATTGCACATTTTATTTTAAATCAAAGTTCTAATTTGTCCAACTCAAATACGTGAATTATATTTATAAATTTTTCTTAAAACTAAGTTTCTTCCTATTTATTTCAAATTTTAAAAAAAAGTTTTTGGTCAATATTTTGAGAAATTAGGTTATATTTTTCATATTGATATAGCTATATCTAGCTAGATATGATTTATTCATACATTAAAAAAATACGGTAGTTTGAGAAGTGAATTTAAAAAAAAATAGAAGAATCTAAAATAATTATAAAAGTATTTGGTAATATGCATTAAGATTAAATCAATTCTTAATAATGTTTTTTTTCCCAAGTCATATTGTCATCAGCCCAATGTTAATATTTGATTAACTAGATTCTGTTATAATTTTTAAACCTATTTTAAGCCACCAACTATGATATAATTGACCATATTAACCGATAAAAGAAAAAGCACCAATTAGATATTAAATAATCAATAAAAAAATAAATATTAAAAGAACTTTACTTTGTTTTTTTTAATGTAGAAAAATGAAATTTCATTTCAGTATATTAGGTGACAAAAGTTTTTGGTATTAAAATAAAATTGCAAAGGCACGACGTCTTGTGGTATCACCTACGAAGTCATTTTGGACAAATTTAATACCAAAAAGTTTTTGAATCTCTCGAGCCTGGGTCTTGAGGTGGGAATCGGTGTCTGGATTACAGAGAGAAAAAGCTAAAATGCTATCAATTCCGAGTTTGAAAAAGAAAAAAAAAAAAAAAACTATGAGACACGTTTTGGGCACAAATCTTCATAGTTGGGCCAAATATGTAATCTGGGAGGCTCTGTCTTATGCCCCCACCAAGTCTCAATTATATGGATCTAAGTTCTCAAATGGGCCATCTCCAATCTCCATTAAAGTCAAAGGTGTAAAAAATAACTTTTTCGACAAAAAAAAAAAAAGAAGAAGAATAAAGAATAAAAGAATGTATAATCAATAATTGAAATCATCTAATATAGTTTTTGAATATGGTAACTTGACCATTCTAAAATTCGGGCATTCAGTTAAAAACTTTAAAACTTTACTTTTTAATGCAATCAATATAAGAATTCAATTAACTAAAAAATTAATAATTGTTGTTTATTATTAAAAAAAATTAAAGTGAGAAAAGTGAAAAGTATAAATAACCTTTCTTTTTTTTTTTTTTTAAATTTCTAGTAGGTAAAGAAAATAAATTAAAGACCAATTCTCTCTCTACCCTATGAGGAAAGTTAGAATAATAAAGGGGAAAAGAAGTTAGAAAGAAAAAGGGGAGAGGGAGAGTTATGATATCAGTAAATAGAAAAAGCTAAGTTAATCAATAAATATGGACTGATTCATCGCTAATTAATTCTTTTGAAGAATTCAGAGAATGTTTCGAGAATTATATTTCCAAAATTGATTTAGATTTTGTTTATGTTTTATAATTATGTAGAAAAAATTTTGATAAAAATATTTATAAAAATTAAAGTTTTGAATAGATCAGATATTTTCTATTTTTCATGATAATGAGTTTAGCAGATAATAAAGTATAGAAATGAATAAAAGAAGCAATCAAAAAATAGTTTTTTAAATTCAGAAAAAATAATGCAAAGACAAATTTTGAGATTTAATCCAACTATGAGAATGAAATTGAAAATAGTAATCCAGTCGAAATGAAGCCAAACTAGAGAGATTAAACTAAGATTTTTAATACTTTAGAGACTCAATTTAAATCAAATCCGACTGACAAAAATTAAAATTAATAGTAACAAAACAACTGTTAAATTGCCGTAAATATGTTATCATTAAACCACCTTCTTCTTCTTCTTCTTATTATTATCTATTATACCTTAAAATTAGTTTAGATGAAACAAAATTTTACCATTATAACAAAAGAAAATATATGGCTACCGACATATATAGTAGATTTTTATTTTACCATAAAAATATAATTTATATGATAGGTTGTGTGAATTTTCCCGGAAGATCTACTGAGAAAATAAAATGTCATATTAGAAAGTTGAAATCACCACCCAACCAAAACAATAATTTCTTTGAAATATTTTTCTTGAATTGGAATTATTTGATTATTATTAATATACAATAATATGTTTAGCGCAAAAAAAAAAAAAAAAATACAATTATATGTTTAAAATCTTTTAGGCTAAAATATGATTTTTAATGTTTGAATTCTTATTAATTATTCCATTTGTATTTTGTATTTGATCCTTGTTGCATGCAATATTTTATATGTTGGGGTTTCAAGTGTCATTAAATTACAAAATTTTCGATGTTATTTTTTTTATTTTACTTTTTATATATATATGTTTGAGTTGAACACCACGTGGATTGGAAATTTAATTTCTAACATTTTTATTGATGATATATATCCAATTGTAATATTAAGCTACTAATTTTCAATTTATGGTAAGTTTCAATAAAATTTTTACTTTATTTTAGTTCTTTTTAACGGTATAAAAGTGTCATGTCAAAATTTTTTGTCGGTACCAATATTACATTTAAACAAAATAATAAATTACAAAAATGGTATTTAAATACTTCACTCCCTTTTTTCAGCTTTTTATTGAAACCTTTATTTTTAATTTTGAGAAAGCAATTGTCAACCATATCTTTAGCTTTATTACTTCAGAGAGCATCACAATCAATAATTACCAACATAAAGTTTAAAAGCAACTTAAAAAAATTACCAAAGCGAACATAGTTCACCGGTAATTTATATATCTACAACTAAGAGATTGTGAATTCGATCACCCACCCGCACATGTTGTATTAAAAAAAAGAGAAAAAAACTTCAAAAAATTAACGATTGCTCCGGGTTGATGCCTAAATGCTCCATTCTCAAACGGCAAACGTCAAATCATATACTAATTTTCAAAATATCAACACTTTCAATTAAAGATTTTTCATTTTGATCGTTAGAGGAGCGATTTTAGCACACCTAAGATATTTGACTGTTTACCTCACTCGAGTTGTAATTTTTAGTAGATTATACTTGTACCAAATCTAATTACAATAATAGGATGAATGACTTAATTTGATTTAAAAGAATATTAATTCATAATGTAGAAAAATCGCGGAACCAATAATATTTAAATAAAAAATATTTATGGAAACATTATATATGTTGATTTCTTATATAGAGTAAGTTATCATGTTGGGAAGGATTTTCTTGTGTGTTTTGTTTCCCCTCTAGAAAAATTTAGGTGTTTATCGATCAGCATCCATCTTTTGCTAGTCACTATTAAAATTTTGATGGACAGGAGAGAAAAATGCATAATTTTTTTTATTAGTAATAAACATGGAAGATTTACAAATCAGTAAGCAAATGGTTCTTTATGTTATGTTTTTAAAAGAGTTATTTATAATTTACATTTACTAAAATAGTCCATTTTTGTTGAAGGAGCTGTATTTGGATGATGAATTGTTCAAGTCTAAATTCAGAGAATTGGTTTTTTTTTATGTGTAGTGTAGTGAGGCATTTTATATTCAATTCCATGAGAACATTGCATCAATTTTAAATGACAGCCCCAAGTTATAAGATCATGTGTCATCCCCCACATGCACCTGTTTACAAATTACACGTTTCATTAAAATATTTTTGGTTCACATTTTGCTCCCTATACTTTTAAAATATTCATTTTGATCTATGTACTTTTAACTTTAGATCCACTTTAGTTCATGTACTTTTAAAATATTCGTTTCAATTCCTATAATTTTTAAAAAGTGACAATTTTGGTTCCCTTAATTTTATTTCTAATATTATTTTTTCTATCACAATTTCAATATATGACACTATACTCGATCAATATATTCATTGAAATATAACCATGATTTTATATTAAATGATTTTGGTCATATGTAGGATTTTTGTAAACAATTTGAAAATAGATATCAAAATTGTCACTTTTTAAAAGTACAGGATCAAGAGAAACACTTTAAAAATATATAAACTAAAATAAACATAAGTTAAAACTGAATATTTTGAAACTTAAGATGTTTTGATTTGTTTTGATTCATAAACTTTGGACCTAATTTTATATGAAGGTTAAAATAACAATACTTACCTCAGAACACAGAAAATGAGAGAGATTTTCATTTTATTTTCTTTTCTTTTCCAAAGATAAGGAACTGTGAAATTTTTAATAGTTTGAGTATTATTTTCTAGAAAAATGATACTTATTTAATAATCTTAGGTGGTCCTTCAAAGTTCAGATGAGGTGCCTTTAGTCATTTTAATTAAATAGAAAGCTAATTCAACAATGACAGGATCTTCTAACAATGCTTATTATGTGATCCATTTTAAATAAGCATTTTAAATGACGTATTTAAGATTTATTAATTATAATAATTTATTTAGATGTGAAAGTTTTTTTTCTCTCTATTTCTTTTTTCCACTGCTTCGACCATGCAGTCATACAAATTTGAAAAAATAAATTTATAATAAACACAAACCACTTTTTTCACCCTCAATTAATTTTAAAATAAAATGCCATAAAATATATGATAACAGAATTTAAAAGTTCAACCAAAGACTACTTCTCCTTGATATCTCCAAAGGCCGACAGGATTTTTCGAATGGAATAAAACTTAAACGGTTGATTGGTGAGGAATTGACAGTTCTTTATGATATTTTTTCTCTCTTACTTTTATCTATTATCTCTTTTAGTTATCGTGTTTTTTAAATTGTGATAAATAGGAAGTAACTACCTACTGATAAGCATTTAAAATTTATCCTATTGAACGAACTAACTTCATATTAACTCAAGACGTAGGTAAATGAAAATATATTTTGAGCATTACTTAAAGCATGAGATGAGATATTAACTTTGTAGATTCATGTGCAGAGAAGCATACATTAATTAAAAATCTCTGATTAAGAATGCAATAATTTACAAGGTATAGAAGAAGAAGAAGAAGTGTTACTCGTCAATGAGGACTTTCTTTTGCTGTCTATGTTGTTGAACGACCAAAACGGAGGCATTGATGTTGAATTCTGAAGAGGCCAATAGATCGCCGACGGTGCCGAGCTCCGGGCACTCCTCCCAGTCGCTCATGCCGGTGGTGAGCGGCGAGTGCGCCCTTCCTCCCTTTCCCACCACGAACAACGAGTACATGTCTCCCATGTCTTTCAACGCCGCCACCGTCTCCTGCCCGTTGCTCACGTGCGTCTCTATGTACCCTACTTGGCCTGTCGACACGTGTCTACCAACGATACAAATTTATCCGGTAAATATTCGTCAATATTTTAAAAAGAAATAAAGAAAATACTTGGTTCCTCCTCGACAAGGATCAATCTTGTCTTTGTCATCGTTACCACAATTAAGAAAGAAAAATGTGAAAATCAGATTTTTTTTTTTATTTAAAACAATGAGTTGTCAAGTTTTCACTCTTTTCTTAAAACTAATCCAAAACAAAAGTCATAGGATCTATGGATACCTGCTATAGAAATCTGCAAGAAATGCATTATCCGTTTCATTGGAGCTGTTCCTCGCCGCCAGACTGGACAAAGCCATCAAAACCCCTTCACTCATGGCCACACCAGCACCGTCGCCATGGCCGTGGGCAGCACCACCCCCCGTTGGCAAGGGCATGAAGCGAATAATGGTCAAATTAATCCTTGCGTGACTAATCATCCGCCTACTCCACGCTACGGCCTCCCTATCGTCGGGCCCACCGAAGAAGAGGACCGCCACGTGCTGCACGTTGTCGGAGACCAACAAATGGGAGAAGGCGAGAAACCCGGTCTGAACTCGGTCGATGAGGATGCCGACGGAGCAAGGGGCGTGGCGTAGAATCTTCTGGTTGGTGGTGCGGATGCCGTCCTTGCCGGTCTCCATCTTGCCGTCAATGCGCTGGTGCTTGTGGAAGGGGAGAATGATAACTGAGACGCGGAGATCCTCAGCGGCGGTGCAGACGTCCTCGTAGAGAGTGGGAAAGGAGGAGACGGCCTTTGAGAGGGACACGAAGATGTTGCTGTCGGAGATGAAGGTGTCGAGGGCGCAGTGGATCTCAAGGACGTCGTTGCCGCCGTAGCCCTCCTCGTCGCTCACCTCGTCCTCCTCGAGCTCGTGGTAGGAGAGATTGGTGCGGCGCTTGTGGAGGAGCTCGATGAGGTGGAGGAGGAAGGGGGTGAGGTGGGACTTCTGCCCGCCGCTCAGGGCCGACAGGAGGGGGAAGATTCCAGATAGCTGACGTGGCCCATACGCGCAGGCTAGGGCCCGAACCTCTTGGGTTGGATCGTTCAGCTCCAGGCTCGTGTGGGTGTGGGAGAATAGCTTCTCTTCACGCCGCATCAGGAACGCCACCATTGGCCCCGAGATTATGGTGTTTATTACAATCGTTATTAGCAGAAGGCTGTATGCTCGGGGGTTGCTCCATGACTGCCAAAAAAAATTAATTTAGGATGTCGAAAATTTGATAATTCATTAAAACGTTTGTGTTTTTACATTTTTCTCTTTTAATTGTCGAATATTTAATGGTGATTAGTCGTCATAGTAAGAAGTTAAGCCTAGCTCATGAGCGTGTTACGAGCAGGATGTTAAATACACCTATGTAGATCTCCTCTACACTTTTCCTATATGTATTTTTATTAATCTATTTCTAGTGGCTAAAACTATATTCTCTCCATTCGAAATCCAATCCAATTCAACTCAATTAAAAAAAAAAGGAAAGAAAAGCAGATGATTTGTGTACCGTACTTACAATGAGTGCTTTGGAGGCTCCACCAATGAGCAAGAGATCTGCATGGCCCTTCAAGTTAAGGACAAACCCAAGAAAAACCCCTTCATTCAAAGGTATATTCAAGTAGTTACAAACCGCCAAAGTCCCACTCATCTTGCTCCCAATACTCAACAGCACCATAATCGCCACTATCAACAAATTGCTCAGCTTGAACAGATTATTCCCATCAAATTGGAACCCCACATACCCAAAATATATTGGCAAAACAAAATTATGCACCGAATACGTGAGCTTATGAAGCAAAGTCCTGGCCGTTTTCCCCTCCTTGGGAAAAGCTAGCCCAAAAACAAAGCTACTTATTATGCTGTTGAACGACTCCAGCTCCACAATAATGGACGCAGCAATCACCATCGACAGCAAGAAAAACACTTCCATGTTTTTAAGGTACTTTTGGTTGCGGTTTCGTTTGTTGAACCAACTGGCTAAGTATTGGTTCAGAATCACAACTCCCGACACAAATAGGAGACACAATATTCCCTTCCCGAAACCTTGGAACGATTTTAAGGCCAGGATGGTGTTGAAGATGGCCAAGCAGGCCATTTCGTTGATGAGGGCCGATGAGATGGCGAGCTTTCCGACATCGGACGTCGCGAATTTGAGCTCGGCTGCGAGGCGGATGACGACGGGGGAGGCCGTGTACGCAAGGATGAGCATGATGATGATGAAGAACCCGAATTTGCTGTTCTTCTCTTCGAATTGTTGGTAGAGGAAGAAGGAGACCGCGATGCCGAAGATGCTGCCGACTACGGCTCCACCGCAGGCGATGAGTCCGGCAACACGGAGGTTGCGGAGGATGTAGGACAAGTCAGTTTCAAGGCCGATGAGGAACATGAAAATGATGCGGCTAAGGAAGCCGAAGATTTCGTAGTAGTCGGCGGCGGAGGCCTGGAAGAACACCTCTTTCACTGCTTTTATGTTTGATATTCCCGTTGGACCCAACACCATGCCTGCCTGCAAACAAGGAAAATGTTTGAAATTCGCTCCTCTTCGTTCATACTATAAATTTTTCTTCATAAATAATTCTTTAAGACGTCGTTATACTTTGAAGGAGAGTGTAGTATGAAAATATTTTATAGAAATCTTCCACTCGACTTTTTGGTAATGCTCTCTCCCTCCCTCTAATCCTTATATAGTAAGCTATGTAATCTAGTTGATTGACACACATAAGACATATTTTATAGGAAAAAATTATTGAAAAGAATTGAACATAATTGAACTAAATTGAGAGAAAAGAACAAATTTCAAGTGAATGGAGAGGGGTACACAATAAATAATTAAGCTTAGTACCCGAAAGAGTAGCGCCAAGGCGCCTGTGAAAGAAGTTAGAATCTGAGAAGACAGCGTCTTGGCGCTGTCAACCCTACATTGTGGTCGACGTAGGTACTCCAAACCTACATCATTCTTATAGAAAGTTGAACGGAAACTTTGTTGATATTTGGAGAATACGAGAAACCCTAAGATCACCTATAAACAAAAAATTCAGTACGGCGAATTCTAGAAAACCCTAAAAGGAAAAACAATCGCCAACACAATATATCGCTTGATCTTCCAGATCCTGATCAAGCGATTGCTCATATTTTGATAGTCGAGGAAGACTAGAAACCAATTATCGAGAAAAAGTTGAAAAAAGAAAGGATACAGACCAGAATCTGAGCAATGGGGCCTGGTTGGCCGAAGGCCTTGAGGACGAGGTGGAAGAAATGAGAGATGACGAGAATGAAGGAGACCTGAACGCCCATCGAAGACAGCGGGTTGAACAGGTCATCTTGGCACACCATTCTATGTGTTGCGTCCATTTTTACTCTTTTTTTTTCCCTTCTTCGATTGATCAATAATTGGTGAAATGGGTTTTACACAACGAATTAATTGGAAGAAGAAGAAGAAGAAGAAGAAAAAATTGCATAGGTTAATTAATGATTTAGTAATGGTCTCTGTTAGTTTCCATTTTCACTTGGAGGATGAAGGATCCGAATTTTGCTGCCCCCTTTTGACCTTTTCTATATGCACACATAATCTTCCAACCTCCCTTTTTCTTTTGAATTTAAGATGTTTGTATTATTAGGTTGTTCTAATATATGTTCTTGTTATAACGATAGTGTACAACCATATATATTGTATTATGTGTGGTCTAACATTTGCCAAGACTTCTCTGCGAATGAAGAGAAACAAAGAGGAAAAAAGATTACAGAAGTTGTCCCACATCCGACAGGTTGCGGGAAGATTCTCCAAACGGCAATATAAAAGGCGACGTAGGAGAGAGTAGAAACCATACCTTTCTCGGCCTTTTGGCTAAGATCAAGTGTAGTATCTGTTCTTATCAGTTTAATATCTGATACGTGGGCCATCGGCCCACATGATATTAAATTTATTTTTTACGGGTGTGGGCCCAGCCCAGTAGCTTGCTATTCGGGCCCTCGAGCGTCGCCTTTGCGTTGCAATACTGCATGGGCCTGGCGCACCCCTCCAAGCCCAGTATCAAGTATTTGTTTATGTGTTTTTTGGGAGAGCAAGTATTTGTTTATGTTATCCTAAAATTTATCTGGTATGATTAGGAACCACTTGAAATGGAGAGTTAAATTAAAGAACTAAGATTAAAATGACCATTTTATAGGTCATGAATTAGTAATTTAACTTAATTTTAACCTCTTTTATTTAGGAAAAAAAAAATTCAGATGGAAAAACCATTTTGTAAAAATAAATGTTGCTATGAAATAAATATTGCAATTGCTATAATTTTATAACTTATAATTATGGTTACATTAATTTTCTTACTAACAGCTCTTTAATTTTTTAAAAAGAATAAATTAAAAAACGAAAAACAGAAATTTGACAAGAAAAATTATCTTTTTCCATGTTTCTTGTCAAAAATTTAGTGGCAATCTATAAAAGATAGATGTTGACCGATAAACCAGTATTATTCATGTCCCAAAGGGCAGACCAATTATTAGAAAAAGAAAAACAAATAAATAAACCAGTGTTGCTCAGTCTAGAAATATTAGGGTTAAAGAGTGTCTCTATCTAGAACGTATAAACTCATAATTGAATCATCTCATCTGGTATTTCACATTTTCCAACTAGAGATTTTAATCCTCCGCACAAGATTCCCTGACAGCACATGAATTTTTTATTTTTCTTTTATTTATTATTATTATTATTATTTTTTTTTTGGAAGCACATGGATTTTTTAAATGAAGATTAAAAGCTTGCAAATCTCAGCTGCTAACAAACTGAAGTAATTACTACGAGTTTTGTTTTGTTTCTTTCTCAATGGGAAAGAATACACAATTGTAGATGAACGTGAAAGGAGAAAAACCTATAAAAATTGGTATGATTTTTTTTTTTTCCTTTTTCTTAAATACTCTATATTTACATTTATGCTACTCTCATGTAGGGACCTTTGCACACTAATCTCAAAATGGATTTACAATATTGGACATTTACAAATCAAAATACCACACCAATGTCAGTCGATAGTAATATTCTCAATTTTCTCATACGTCAAGCAAACTCAGCAGCCCAAAACGTGTCGGGGTCAGGACAAAAGAGACTAATATCCTTGATTTCCAAATTTGCAATGTGCCAATTGACAAATTGTGCCTGTGATGATTTGAATAGCAGAAGGATTACGGGCAAGATCCACCACTTATCAGTCTCCCTGTTCTCAAATAAATTCAAAAGCAAGAGGTCAGGAAAACAAACATTTAGTTTAGCTCAATAGTAATTGACATACTTCTCTGACAAAGAGGTTTTGAGTTCAAATTCCTCACCCCATTTGTCGTACCAAATATATATATATATATATATATTTAATATGCTATTCCTAGTAAATGACATCCTTATCTATTGTCCCGTACTCCCATTTCCTAAATCCACCTTCCTGGTTTATATTTCAAGCCCATTTCCAGTATCACCTGTTTCTGATGTACGGGATTGGGATCTTAAAGAATTACAAAGAGTTGAAGATCACCTTCTGTTGCTCCATGTATTTGCCTCATCGGGTGGCTGGAACGTTGAAATTCCATACTGCAAAATGCCATGAAGGAATGCCACACCCTGCAATGACCAAAATGATGAAATAAGACTAGCAAAGCAGTCAACATGAGCATAACTTCATGGTTAAGACCGTACTAAAAAAATCAGCCAAAAGCAACAATAACAGTTCTAGTTGCAGAGAAATTTGAAAATAAGATGAGAAGTAATTTTGAATTATGACGAGCATCCATCCTGAAGCATATCCTCTATGCAATAGCAATTAATCAAGAAATTCTGGTGATACTGCAAGTATAGTACAACTTACAATATTAGTGAAAGAGGTTGCATTCCACAAAGCGTATATTCGAGCAAGTGATGCTCTTCTAGGCTCCTTGCTGAAAAGTGCGTTCAGGCCAGCAGGGAAAGGAGATAGTAGAGACAATGGAAGAACAAGCAGAACAAGAAGAAAACCAACCAGTGAAATCCAATAGAACTGCAGCAGCAGAAGCAGGGTAATGGAAATATCTGCTAGAAGCACAGTAGTGATAAGCAGCTGTACAGTATCCTGAAACATTTACATCTCGAGATTTAGAGGATAAGATCTACGAAAACTTCTCTGTTGTATATTTGACAAATATATACTGACATCAACTAACCAGATGACCAATAGGTTTTGTGTTGCGTAATAACAGAGATAGAGGATAGAGAAAGTCCCATTTATAGTGCAAGAATCCCACGTTGGCCTTGTTTATAAGCCCTCCATTAACTACTCCTGTAATCCTCTTTAGAGATAATGCTTGCCAACTCTGCTCAAACTGCATGAGAGATTCTGTTGCACTTGTAGCATCTTCCCTAACATATTTTATAGACAATAAAGTGAGAAGTCAACACTGTCTTCTGATTTTAAACCTCCTAGTTTTTTAAATTATAGTATCAGAATCCAAAATTTAATCCTTATAATCCTCTAACACCTAGTTAATGAATATAAGAATAAAGGAAACAAGTAAACTGTGGACCAAGTCAAAGATATCCATATTGAATCCTGATCTGGAAAGACTTACTATGGCTTCGATCAATTAATTCTTTATCCTTCTAACAATAATGTTGTTTTTCACAAAAACTCTATAATCTTGAATGAAAAGTTCCCGTGCTCTATTTTTTTTAATTAATAAAAAATGAATTTTAATAATGTGCATAAGCTCTGCCGTTGGGTGATAATCCTAAGAATGATGATTTCTGGTCCCCTGTTGAAGAAAAAATCCTAAACAACCTTTATTGTTGGAAAAAAGTATGAGATTGTTCTAATGGGGTGATTATTCGAATAGTTCATTGAAGCATCTAGTTCGGTGGGATAATGCTTCTCTTTCTCAGGATAAAGGTGGTAATCCTAAAACAGAGCACTTTTAGCAAAATGGGGCTGGAGATTCAGCAAAGAGCCCTTTGCTCTTTGGCGTGGAGGTTGGAAACGAGGAGATGATGAAATGGACGATTATGAGGCCTTACTGGATTGTCGCTCCTCATTTACCACTAGCGAGGGGGAAGATGATAGGAGATGGACGTTGGAGTCATCTAGGCTATTCTTGGTAAGCTCCCTGCGCAAATTTGTTGATGTTCCTCCTAATCTTCCATAGGATTATAGTGCAATTCTTTGGAATTCAGGAAGCCCAAAGAAAGTTAGCTTCTTGACGTGGATTCTTCTCAATGGGAAGATTAATACAGTTGAGGTACTTCAGGAGCAGTTACCTAAATTGGTATTACAACCTTCTACATGTGTTTTCTGTATAGCTAATTGTGAAAACATAAAAGCATATTCTACTCTTCTGTTCGTTTGCAGCCTCTTGCTGGTTTTCTCTGTTGAATCTTTTCAACTTAGCATGAGTGTTTGATTCAGATGTCTCCATCCAAAGACTGTTTATCAGCTGCTATTTGGAGGTAAAGTTATCTCATAAGTCAAATTTATTATGGGTTAACGAGCTCAAGGCACTCCTATCGAAACTATGGTGTGAAAGAAACCAAAGGGTCCTTGAAGGCAAGCGAAGATCGGAGTTCGAATGCTTCAATTTGGATAGGTTTAAAGCTTCACGATGGTGTGCTCTTTCCAACTTCTTTGATAGTTATTCACCTAGTTTGATTTGTGAAAATTTGGAGGCTTTTATTTGTCAGTTGTAATTGAATCTGTTTAAGGGAGTTTGTTTTTTCTTTACTTTGAGTATTTCTTGGTTTCTTTATCAATCCTTCGATTGAACAATTTTTGTTCACTTTCATCATTTCAATAAAAGTTCTTATCTTGTTAAAAAAAATAATCTGCACCAATAAAAGAAGTTTGTTTAGCTTTAGTTACTTTGTGATTTTAGCAAATTAGAGGTTGGATCAATGAGATTGCTAGACTACCCATTTGTTAGTCCGAAGTTTGTAGCAGATAAAACATAAATCTATCCATCTGTTACATCTATATTGGTGGTGCCGGTCGATAGACTCAAAGTATGCTCAATTTCTGCCATTTGTAGCACCCTCCCCTTTTGTTACATCAATGTGATGCAGCTAACCTATACGATAGCTAGCCAATATTTCTTCCTTTCTTTTTCTTTTTTTTTTTTTAACCTGTTTTTGGTAAGTCAGTACCGGCTCTATGATCTAACTGGAGCAATGTTGAACAAGGAACTATTCAAGCATACCTTAATTTTTCTTTGGTATGTTGGTGCAACACATCCGATCTTTCAAACTGTTGAGAAGAATAATCACCAAACGGTACAACCAACACGCCAAGCTGATAGTAACCAGAAGCAGTAGCTTGGAACCATCCGACCTCAATCTTAACGCCATGGAATTCAAGTTGAGGGTTTGCATGACTATTTACCCAATCAATAACAGGAATTAAGGAAGAACGAATGGACCTACTCCTCACTAGCCTCAGCTGAGCATTCAGACCAGCAACTAAGCGATTCCAAACAGTTGCTGGGACATGCTAGAAACGTAAGAAGAATTTATTTGGGGTTAGAGTTTGTGCTGATAAAAGTAATTAAACAACTTTTTGAAGCAGATAATCTACCTGTCCAATGAGATTGGTCAACAATGCATCACTGTGAAGATTATAGGGAGTCATGTAGCTTCCATCCCCACCAAAAATTATGCACATTGGATATCTCTTTTCAATAATTGAAACAATATCTAAACGCTTCTCGTCACCACCAAGAAAAAAATCGATATATGCAACCATTAAATCAGGCGTTGCTCCAACCTGCATAAATTTCAATTCAGATAACATCAAAGTAGGATAGAGTTTTGTCATAAAAATAAGAAAGACATAAATATCTATTTTGTAAAAAATGACACCAACTTTTTCCAGCTTTAGTAAAAAAGGTGAAATTCCAGTTCAAGTCAAAAGAAAAGGCAAAATATATATAAAAAAAAAAATTAACCATAAACAACAATTTTATAAAAAAAGACAAACAACTAATCAAGATGAGGCTAGACAATGTTAGAAGATACAAGAAAGAACTCCATCTATATCCTACAAAACGAGGGAAAAGATGATTGATACTGCTTAACACGATTCTAACTCTAACTCATCAAACTTATGTTCACAAGTGTCCTTTTATTGAGTTCCAATCGCAGCCCAGAAAATTGCATATCTCCACAATTTTTATAAGTAGAGGTGAGGACAAGCAGTCCCCACTCTAGAGATGTGAATCTGCTCAGGGGCAAAATATCTGTGATCATTAGTAATAGGTAATGATCACAGATATTTGCTATGAGTGTTTTGTATAAAACAAACAATTACTACATCTAAGGCTAGGGCCACAATGAAGAAAGACAGTGCGAACATATTTCACAAGAACTAACAATTAGTACATTTCGGATAATATTTCATGGGACTTAACAAAAACAAATATCAAAAGAAGAACAAGAAGCCACCGTCTTTGGTCATCACAATGTTCAATAAAGAACGTTAGGAGAACATTAAATTCAACCACGAAATAATCGTTTCTATATTTTATAGCCATACCTTCATCCCTTTGTATAAAGCACGAGATCTGCAGGAGCGCAGACATGAATGGTCATATTCAGACTTCACATAGTCCTGAAGGTGATGGATTTTGTGCCTACGCCGCCACTGTTTCCAAGACCATGCACAAGGATATGCAAGAATAGAGAGTATAATGTGCACTGATCCTTCCCACCAATGATATGCAGCCACTGAATTTATCTCATCAATAAATCTATTAAAAGCATCTTCATACCTGAGCATATTGTGAACAAAATATTGTAAACCACAAAATGGACATTACTTTTTTCCAAATCTCTGACGATACGAAGGCTTAATTGACAAGTGCATATAGAGACATTAAACCAAACTTAATAATCGTAGCATGATGACATTCTTTATTAAAAAAGTTAGAATAGATTAGGTTTAACTTTCTTGCTAATATGATCCACAATGCTTTCACACGCATTGTTGGATACTGTCTCTTTAACACATGGAACTGTATAGGAAAAACTGATGGTTAGTCTAACGTCTTAAAATCTAAAATTACTAATTATTTAAATTTTCTTGTGTCATACAGTTTGAAGGCCTCTACCAGCTTCAGTGCTATTTAGTAGATTTTCCAAGGCATGACTTCAGTTAAGTACAAAACATTGTTAGACCATCACCAGACAACTTAAACTCATTAATCCACTTATTTTAAGATCAATAGGTTCAAATGAATAGTTGAAACACGGCCACTCTAGACAAGCTTATTAAATTTCAGTCTTCTTACACAATTTCAATAATTGCATTGGGAGGAGAGTAAGGAAGGTGCCAGGGCTCTCTGAATGTATTGGGGCCCATAAAGTACATTCTGTGAACATGGCTTTGAGTTTCCTCTGCTCTAGTTCCACGTACCTATATACATGCAAAAATTACACCTGAATAATGTCATAACTGCAACAGCAGGAATGGTATTGAAATTCCTAGTTATAGTAATCAGTACCTCAGATAAGGAAAGAAGATGTGGGAAATGACGATGACTGTGGGGTTCAATCGAATCAGCATCACGATAAGAACCATATCCGACAAATTTTACCCTCAGCGTGCTTAACAGAAGTGCTAAAAGAACCAAAAAACATGACAATATAACAGAAAATGGCCATGGACCACCAAAGGTGTACATCAGCTCCTCAAGAGGTGTAAAGCAATTTGGCATCCTATATTTGTCAGATATACATCTATATGGACAAAATGGCCGATCAACCCCTCCTGTCATGCGTGTGGATACAGTGGCAAGAAGAAAATCTGAAACCACTCTGAGGAAGAAAGAAAGCCGAAACAGAAACAGAAACCACTTATCTTATTACCTCGTGAATATATGAAATTAGCACGATTGGGCAAAAGGTCAAGAGAACAAGGAATGCAAAGATTTGCGTCAGATCCATCGACATCTTTGTACGTGCCAACAGGGCATTCCTGTAAATAGAGCCAAAATAAAATCTCGACGTCAATATGCTAATCAATAGATCTGTTCTGGAACAATGTTATTGAGCAATTTCCATCATATTACCCACTATTAAAAGCAAAATATGCGGATACTAGAAACAACTTCAACCATCATATACAGACATACATAACTCACGTATATGATAAAATCCTATTTTAACATATGACAAGGTTACTTTGGAATTCATAAGCTGGTGTAAGGACATTTATTCTTCCATGGTGTACCATGTGCCTAGAATATTCTAATCTGCGATTGATGTGGGTGACTCTTAAGAGCATAAGGAGAGATTGCTCTGAGAGAGGTGGCATCCCATTGAGAACAATGATTTATATGTGAGAGCAGAAAGTGGAGGAAAAATTAGAATGGAAGAAAGAGGGAGATTTCCAACTTCTCCATCTTTCAAGAACAGTCCGGTGAACTGGTTCCTCTCTGAAATGCCACAAAATCACCAATAACTTGGAGACTCTCCAGGACTACCGCAATTAAGGGTGGTCAAACAATTTTGGGAAGGAGTAGTTTTCAAGCAGTTGAGTTATTTATATGATGTTAAACCTGGAACGAGACTAAATTCAAGAAGATGGTTGCTAAATTCAAAGGGGAACTCTAATATTAAATCATTGTTCTCCAGTGTTTAAACAAATCATTTCTTATTTAAAAAAAATAATGCACACATATATAGGTGATCTTTCAAGATGGCATAGTTTATTTTTTGCACATAAACAAACTTTTCATTGGTATATGGAAAGGAACCTGAAATGTTCAAAGATACAAACTCGAAACGGGTGAAAGAGGCAAAGTAAACCAGTAAAGTATAATACAGCCATAAGCAAAATAACACTATTGAAAATTAAAATACAGCCATTGCTGTCTTTCTAGCTTATTAAAATGGTAATGCCAAATTAAATATACCAATCAGAACACACAATTCACACGTGTCAATAGACAGCATTATCTTACGCAAATAACAAAATCTAAGTTTTTTATTTGACCTAACAAAAAACAGTGGATAACTTAGCCTTCTAATTTAGAACACATGCAAGGAAGCTACCCTTTTAACATGGAAGCATGTATAAGAAAAAGCATACACAAAAGTTTTAAAAGAAAATTTCTAGATGGTGCAAACGGTAGCATGCCCACATGTAATCCAAGTTTATGTTACAGTGAGGTGGTACTATAACCAACTGAACGTACTTCACAAAAAGTACCATAGAGTCCCTTGGGGCATTCTTTTCCGGTAATTGTGCCCTTTCCCCCATAGCTACCACCTTTGTTGCTAGCACCTCCACTGTAAGACACCACATACGGAGTGCATTATTATATTATCACAAACTCCAAAGACCAACTGAAATCCAGAGATAGTCCTAAAAGATGAGACAAGTGCTGCAATAGTATTAAACACATTTAGTGGCTTGCAGAACATTTTGATGATTTGTAATTATTTTTTAAAATTAAGATTGTAAAAATTTAGATCGCTAAGATCCATCAGATATCATATTCAACAATATTAAAAGACTTTATAACTTAGGGGGTCTCATGGTCGAGAAACCAGACAATGATAAAATGCATTAAGCAATTTTGCAGAGAATCAACTAACTACGAAAGCTAAAAAGCATAACACTTAAAACTCTCCTAACCAAGTATCTTCTCTCCATACTCAATGTTAATAGACAATCAGATATATTAAACAGACTTACAGAATGTCAACAACTTAACCTGCCACGTGGTCTGTACCTTACACACCAAAGCATTAAGAGTTTATAGTTTACATTCTCATACCTGCTATTAGTGGAGCCACCTATGCTTGCAACAGGTATATATTCATCCCCAACATGTATATTGGACCAATGAAAATGCACTCTCCCACCCCCACCTCCACCTCCACCTATAGAACCACCATTGCCGCCAATAACAGTAATTGATGAATTCTTGAAAAGCTCAAGTTCCTGAAGGAAAAGAAGAATAGTTCCACCCGAACCTCCTCCATGCCCACCAACCATGCTGCTATTATCATTTCTTGTCACTTTAACAAAGCTTTGTCCATCAGCCGTTAAAGATCCATAAATTTTAAGAGTTAACAAAGGCCACTGGATGGATCCCATCACTAGAAGAAATAACATAAACACTCTCAATGCGTGAGAACAAGTTCAGAGACTGAACAGAGTAATAAAGAATTATAAATGAAGAAATACTTTGCTCCAGTGTGCACCATTTTTATTTTGTTAATGTACACATTAGACGCACTTTATCATATACACTTTGCAATAGTAGAAAAATATTTACCAATCATTCCCCCTCCAACCACAGGTGTATCTAAATGATCAGGGCCTTGTGCTCCACTTCCAAGTTCACAGGGAAGATCAGCATTGCCATATTCATCACCTCCATTACTCACCCACCCGTTAAAATAACCAGAGCCTCCTCTTCCTCCATGTCCAGCTCCACTACCAGCACCATTTGAATAGTTGCCCTTACCAATTCCTTCATTGCAACCTAAGCATTAAGGGTTACCGCAATTGAGAAGCTTAAAACTCAACTCTTTCTTCTCCCCA